GTTGGAGATGCAATGCACCGGACATGTATTCCAGGGTCGAGATGATCGTTTGGCTGTGCCAAGCCTGAGGTGGCTGATGAGATTTATATGATGAGAATTTCCTATGGCTGGACTTGTATTGTCATGAGTTTTGTGGTTTGAGGGTTGGAAATAGAGGTTTTATGAGGATTTAAAACTTGTCTATTTCTGAGGGTCTGGGAATGGAAGTTTTGTGTGAGTTAGAACTTGTATATTTCTGAGGGTCTGGGAATGAAAGTTTAATGTGAGTTAGAACCTATCTATTTCTGTGAGACTCTAGTGAAAATACCCTGTGTGATTGGGTTGTTTCAGTTGACCTGAGGAGTGGTCATGGATGTGATGATATTCTGGGATAGTGGAATGTCATGTTGAGACCACGGGAGGTAGTTTTGGTCAGAGATGTTTATGGACGTTAAAGAATTGATTGCTCTAGGGGATGAATAGTTCCATGAATGACTCATTAGGAGATGACGAGTTCTCCTGAGGGGATGACTAGTTCCCTTGTATTTCTTTGAGAGATGATGAGTTCTCTCCAGGGGATATGAGTTTCTCCGCATACCGAAAGCTTGACGGACTATGTGCCCCAATAGTGTGAGTGGTATGGAGCATACCGACAGCGTGACAGACTATCTGTCTTGAGGGTGTGAGTGGTAAGGAGCATACCGAGAGCCTGACGGACTGTATGTCATGAGGGTGTGAGTGGTATGGTGCACTGAGAGCTCGAGGGATGATGATCCTGAGAGTGTGAGAGGTGTGGATATGAGTTAATAACAATTAATGTCTGAAATGTGGCTATGAGCATAGGACTAGATGTGGACCTCAGAGATCGGGAGTGTTAATATCGGGTGGTGTTGGCCGGATTGGTCAGGAGTGTTGGCCGTAGTAGTAGTGGGATTCGAGGTCGAATTTGTAGCGTGATTCGAGGTCTAATTTGTGTTAGTGGGAGAGAATTATAATGCCCGCGAATCAAAATTGATAATTTTGGTG